ATATTTTTAAATATAATAAACATTATAATTTTATTACAATAGATATAAAGTAGCTATATTTTTGAAATTCCATTTCAATCATTATTGAAATTTATATAAAAAAAAACTATTTTGTTTAATTTATTAAAAAATATCAGTAATTTACATGCAAAATTCATTGATCATCTAATTTTTGATTTATATGTTATACAAGCTTATAATTTTACGCATAATCAATATTGGTATTATTCTTAAATTTTGGAAAATTTTAATAGGTGTTATTAATTAACTTTAAGAATTATGAGGGGTCGGATACTTATGACCAGTGTTGTTATGGGACATTGATAGAATACTGATGGGATGCTGATGGAACATAGATAGGACAGATAGGACCTTTGGGACATAGTGTGAGATAGGTTGGGACATATAGCTGAGACATATAGCTAGGACAACAAATCTCTAGAATATCATAAATGTACATCACTGCTTATGACCGCTTCTGTATATAATTTTCTTCTTATAAAGTATGAGATTACAGTCATTGTTGCACTTGTATTCATTATCATTCAGAAACCTTACTCTACGTTTGCCATTCCCACTTCATCTCAGACATTTACTGTATTTCAAAAACGAATATGCACCTATATTTGGCAAAAGAAATCCAAATGATGTCATTCTTATTAGGGCATTGACAGGTATAATATATCAAATAACACCTGTTAATAACCTTATAATTCATATATTATAAATCATATAAACCTGCCACTCTTTTTCTGCACCTGCATTTGTATTAGCATCAGATGCTAAAAATCTACGCAATTTAACAATATGTTCTTTAACAGATACGTAATAGCATTCCGGATAATCCTCCCTCATTTTCTTTTCTTCTTTACTTGATCTGTACCTAACAAATTTCTCATGAACGATTAATATATGTGTACCCTGCAATAGATCAAGAGTGTTAAATTCGAGTAAATAACAATATTCAAGTGCATTTATGGCGAGTTCTTCCCTGATTGGATCCCAATCTGGATTGATAACATAATCAAAAATTAAGCGACGCTCATTAATGTCCGTCGAGGGTTGAGACCAAATGAAATCTGAGCTAGCGAAGACTAAACAAAGGATATGTTACTTTTAAATAAGTTGATAGTGATAACTTCAAATCAATCAAGCTAGACCAGTCTTATTACGCACCATAAAATTTCTTCCACTCATCTTTATTTTTTATAAATTTATTGAGTCCTAGTCTTACTGCAAAGTTTTCGATATTACTTTTAACATTTGCTACCAGTTTTAAAGTGAATTTTGTACTAATAGATGCTCTAGATTTAGTTTCTGAAGCTGTGTTCTCTTATTTTTCATCCTTGAGGTCATATGAGTCCTTCAAACTCAGGTTTTCAGCAAACTTTTTTTCGAGATCAAGCTCTTCAAACGTATACAAGAAATTAGAATATAATAAAAAGAGTATAAATAGTCATATACGAAAGTACGAACCAGAAATGGTATTACTAATTTTAGATCAGTTGGTTATCATTTCAACACCTATAACATGCGTGGTTAAGTTAGCATATTAATATTCCGAAATCAGTATATTTCTAAAACACGATAAAAAACCTACTTAGATTTTTTTCTTTTTTAATATTTTTTGGAAGCTTAGGTAATTTAAGTTTACGTTCTGAAGACATTTTGGTATTACTTAAAACTGATCTTTGGAGATAAGTACAGTAGATAACAGATAAGACGATCTAATTTTGTGCAATACAAAATTATTATCACGTATCCAAAATCGCTGACCGTGTATCGATGGCCATTAATAGCTACCTCTGAAAGGGAGAATTCATTGTGTTTGACTTAGATAAGCCTGAGGATGATCCTTTTGCAATCTGCCTAAGGTTTGACACTCTCCTAAACCTGCAAAAAGAGATAATGGTAAGGCAGAAGCGCAAAGAAAAAATGGAATTCCATTCCAAAAACAAGAAAATAGACAGTGATATTAAAGGATACTTATACCAAAACCATTCAATTCATAATTTTATTATATTAGCATTTGTATTATATATAAGCATTAATCTAATCGATTCTAGTGGTAGAAAATATAAAAAACTAACTATAGCTAGTAAATTACACATTTCCTGCATTATATTTTTTTTCTTTCATATTTCAGTAATCCTTTTAGTAGTTTATAGCTGTGATTGTAATTGGGATTGTGAAGTAGAGTCACTACTTTCTTCGTACAGTGGTGGGGATTGATAACTTGCAATGCTTTCTTTATACATTCGATCATATTCTATGACTAAATAAGTATAATCTGATTAATCTATCATTTCATAATATAGAAGTAAAAGAAAAAATAATATTTACCTGATTTTTCCTAGAAATGTGTTTTAAATTCCTCATAATATTTAATACCATTTCTTGTTTTCTTCCCTTTGGGCTTCCCTTCAATGTATAGTTGCATTAACTAATAAAAAAAATAATTTGATTAATAATAATTAGGCTGATTATCAGCGTAAATATAATGAAAATATATTACTGTAATATTACTTTGTAAGCGTGTACTAGTCCTTGAAATTTCTCCTTACAGTATTGGCTAGAATAATTTATTTCATATTGGAGATTGATTTTCATTGAAATACTTTTCCAAAAAAACTTTTTACCATTTTTAACAAGATCATGATAATATTTGTTATTTTCTTTCCTTTCGTCAATTAAAACACAGAGTTGAGCATTCGTCCACATTGCTAAAGACTTTCTTTGGGTACCAATTGTAGAAAGTCATGCTATTTTATATATCTTTCTTAATCACATTTTGCAATTACGTGGTAAGTATAAATCACTCCATTTTAGATGACTATATATTTGATGTGGCTTAGATCTAACGGTGTTTAGAATAAAATCTGAATAATTTGTATCTAACATTTATCAGTCACGTGCTTTTCCTGATGGGGCTCCAGCTGAAATTTCCAAATATTAATTGAAAATACATCATGATAAATCTAAAGAATTACTGTTGCTTACCTGCGACTAATGCCTTATTTTATTAGTAAATCACCGTGACTCACCCGTGAATTTGCGTAATTATAAATATACTACATTAATTCTGATCAAAAATATATAAAATTACATATTTTTTGAGACCACGCAGTTCCGCAAATTTGCTAAGAAAAGTTTTATTATCTAGCACATATCCCACACGAAAAAAAATATGAATGTATATTTGCAAAATCGATCGCAAGGGTCACTTTATTAATACAGAAAAAATAATAATAAATTTACTACATATATAATTTTATCTATTCAGAATTTACATTTGAACTACCTTTATTTCTTTTGGATCTAACTGAGGATGCATTAAGTAGTAAAGACATATTAACTATTAGAATATTCTGTAAAATCAGTAAAATTTTTACAAAATTTGTTACGAGGGATGGATCAGATAGTTGTACAGGAATTTCTGCTTCGTAAAGATAGTAATAACGATGAATATTTTTCATATCTCTAATGAAAATATTTAAGCGCATTATTCGTCCGGCAACTTGCATTTTAATAATTCTGAATTCACCTTTATCTGACCCAGATGATTTATGAATCCAGTACATTCCATCATTAGTTTCATGTCATAATTTTATTTTATCATCAATTTCCTTTTGTGATGTGCAAGACAAGCGTAAACTTTCAACATATATGAGCTCATATTTTTTTCCATCATGCTTCATCACAAACATAATATCTGGCTGTCTTCCTGTTCACCCTTTGCCTTTCCTATCTGCACTAGCTGAACTTTGGCGTTCAGTACTAATAGAAGAAGAACATTAATGACGGTCTAAGTTTTCAAAATATCACTTTTCCTAATTATATTATAACTCACGTGCTGACATAAGATGACCTCCCTAAAGGAAGACCTTTTAATGTAGCCTGAATAGCAGGTATAATTACGTTTGTCACATAAGTACCTTCATTTTGTAATTTCACGAACTTGAAACTAAATGTAGAATTATTCTATAAATCATTTAGAGAACCCAAAATTCTTGATGTAACCTTTGCAAGCTCCTCATCTGATTCTTTTTACTCCCCATTATGCGAAAGTTTTTGTAGTAAAATGTTCATATCACTCTCAATAAAGCTAGCCATGAATTCTTCACATTTTTCTCGTATATTTTGTGAAAGTGATGAAAGAACTATATCTTCTATTGATTTCTAATGATAATATAAATTAAATAATGTTGAGATTAAAAATATCAGCTATTAGCCAGAGGGGTTCTTCGAACCAGACGCTTTGCATATGACTATATAATAAAAAAAGAAGAATTTATCATAAAAGACTCTTTCAACCGTTCTGACAATTTTTTCACCAGATCTGAATCATCGCTAATTACTTGGTTGGCTAGAGGATCCTTCTAGGTTAACTCAGAAACAGATACCTCATTTACATCTGAAAACAAATGGTAGTAAAGCTGTGATGTATTTTTTCTAAGTTTGCCCTTTAGCGTCTTGATATTTTTTCTAATTTTATCTGAACTAAGAGGCCTTTTTCCATTTGTTTTCACTGCACTGATATTACGTAAACTACAAACTGTTTTAAAACTAATTTCAAATTAACGTAAACATACAATTAATTAGTTCTGAATATATATATATAAAATTATCAAAAGCGCATGCGCTGTCAGATTAAAATAATGCCCTATTCTCACATGGTTAGCTACTCCAATACTTAAATAAAGACTTTATGCGATACTAAAATAACCACATTGAATTAAGCATATACTATAACCTAACTACCCTTCACACTGTCAAGGAAAAAATCCTGTAAGTAGGCTAATAGGATATTTAGTCTATTATACTCTCTTTCTCAGAATGGTATCAGTCTGCATTATTCATCACTCAAATAAATTCTCTTTTTACTTTTTTTAGAAATATCTTACCTCTGGTAAAATTTCGAGAAGAGTAGTATGGCGTGAGGAACCTCGATCATATTAATTCTTCACAAATGCAACAGCCCGCTCAATAATACTTTTCAGCTCATTTTGAGATATCCAGGGATTGTTTTCGATTTCTTGATAAATAACAGACCCAGCGGTAATACCCTCTTCCTCAGCATTTAACAAGAAATTGTAAATTTTAGTGTATAAATTAGCAGGTATGGTAAAAATAAAAAAAGTTATAATAGTTATCACTCCAGTATACTACCCTTTTAAATGACTCCATTTACATTCTCTTTAGGTTTGTATTCATATTAGGAAAGAGACAGAAGAATATGCAACAGATTCTTACGCCAAAAGTTTGTATTCGAGAATAAGGACATGCGGAATATGCATTAAAAATCTCAACAGTATATACTTTAATAAGAATTAAAAACATGTTAATTTATATTATACACGCTTACATGCATTGGTTTTAAGGCGTTATGGGTATGTATATACATACTTTTTTTTTTATTTAACTTACCTGACCGTTCAATAATAAAGGCTTACTAACATTATATAAATATACTCCAGTCAAAATCCAATAGAAATAGTCTGTAGCAACGCAATACTCTGAAAGAAATAAACTTATAAATAAATGCTATTCTGATAGATAGGGAAAAACTTTAAAATATTTTAAGAATTGCTTTATATGTAAAATTAATTTGTCGCACAAGCAGTCACACAGATTTACAGCTGATTTAGGTAGTGTATCATCTATTAAATCATATATATTTTAATAAGGATCAAAAACGTGCTAATTTATATCGCACATGCCTTCATGCATTGACCTTGAGGCGTTTTGCATGGCTGAACAGTAAATTATTTTATTAATATAATATTCAGGATCTTTCTCGAAAAATACTTTATTAAAATAGTTATATAGTATATTGCTGAGGATCTAATCCAGAATAGGTAAATCAGATTTTTTATCTCACAGGTGATACATTTCACAATTATAATAGACGATCATGTATGCAAATTATATAGCGCAAAAAAAATGAAATATAGTTAAGATAATATTTGTCAAAAGTAATAATCTACATTGCTCAGAATCAGTCAGTTAAAACAGTTAAACAATCGTGATTTTTATTCTATCTCTCAATCTTATTGTGATACCTTTTGGCCGATTAAGATGTTTTGTGGATGTTAATAAGTTATTTTGTTTCGCATACAGAGATGAGATAAATAGCATGTTTGGAGTCGACGAGTGTGGCTCAAAAGCTTGTTGCTTAACTCTTGCACATCCAAGATTACTTAAAGGATCAGAACATTCTTGATCCTAATATCCCTGCATCATATCTTTAGCTTCAATCAATTCAATGAATCTATGCTATCCATGGTAGTATGATTTGGTTGGCTTTATTTCATTAACTTGAAATAGTTTCTAGCAACGAAAGCAGATTGCCATATTGTTTTTATGAATTTTAAGACGATAATAAGAACGATATGATTTGTCAAATTTACCTTCACCAACTCCTGCAAATAAGTAGAAACTATGGTATATGCTATTTTCATTTCGTGATAATAAATATTAGAGAGTATTTTTAACTTGTAATCCTCACTGTACTGGAGACTTTCCCTTTCTCATTATCGATAATCTGTTATAGATTTTTTTATTAGCAAGAAATTTTTTGAAATCCATGCTACCATAGTAATTTTCGAGATATGTTCTATAATATTCCATATCATATCCAGGACGATTACTGATGGGCTTAGATAACTGCCATTGTTTTTTATCAATAATCATATTAATGTTAATAGCACTTGCTAAGGTAACAACTGTCATATTTAGCAAATTATATTGATTTTAGCAATTTCACTGTTTTTTACGATTTATAGCAGTTTGTAGCAAGTATATTATAATAAAATATCAGATTTATTTTTATTCAATTATAAGCATATTATCAGAGGTTTATATAAGGTTCACATCTGGCTATGTGCCATTGGAAAATTGTACTTTTGCCAGTTCCACGACAGTTATAAGGCAGTTGCAAGTTTCTATAAATCACGAGATGATCAGTCTTAGAATTATACGCATATAGAATCATATTTATTTTTCGGATGCATCCCTTTTTTCTCACTAAATTCGAAAAAAGAAGCTAGGCTTTCTCCTGTAGAAGCCTTTCTCAATCACAGATTTCAGGATAATCTTCCACAGTCCTTAGACAAGGGGGTGTACCATCACATGTTAAAAAAAACTAGCCCAATATGGATAGATCTAGGGACTGCAAAACTTTATTATTTAATTTATGATGATTATGCTTTAACCGTTAAGGTGTTTCGCACAATATTATGTATAAAAAAGTGCTAAATTTTGAGAACGCGTCATATAGCTCGATCTCAGAATCTCACCATTATTTGGCCTTAGGTTTGTGTATTCTTCCTAACCTGAGACGCTACATATCTGATATTATTATTACTTAGATTCGAAATAGATGTTACTAAAAATGATTTTATTCGTTTGATGAATATCATCCATTAAATTTTATCATTGGTAATATAAAAAAAGATCATAGACCTTCCTTGCCCTGTTTGATTTCTTCTGGATAGCATTTTTGATAACCTCTTTGAGAAGCTGATTTTTAACCTCATCGTAAAGCTTCTTTAGGGCTTCATGTTCTTTATATCCTTCTCTATAATGGACAAGACATTTCTCTAGTTCTTCTCCATAGTGGTAATAAGTTATAATAAGTTCATAACGTGCCTTTTCATTTCGCTCTTCAGTATTAGTGATCTTAAAATACAGATCAAAAAAAATTTGGGTACTTCTATCTTTTTGCATGGATTCTCTTTAGAGACTTTTCTTTTCCTTAATTACTGAAATTCGAGTGGTATCAGAAGACAACTCCCGGATAAGTCTTTTTAAAATGTTAAAGTTCTCATCTAGATCATGTTTCTTAGATTTCTTGCTAACTAAAAAATCCGTATACTCATTAGCCCGTTTTTTGCTCTTACTGTTAGAAGTTGAGTCAGTTTTCTCTGGAAGAGTTGATTCTACTTCCCCATCCTCATTATTCTCCTCATCCACGTTCATTTCTTCTGAAGATAATTATGGATCTTTATCATCAGTCATACCACACAAGTATTCTAATATACCCTCTTATCAGATTTTCTCATACAAGTCCGATGGATTATATCATCACAAATATTTAAAACGAACAATCTAGGTGGGTCTTCTGTTAAAATAGGCTTATCACATTCTTAATACACCTCACAATCCTGGATACTATCATTAGATTTAATAGATGAAAAGTCTGATTCTTCACGAAGAATATCTTCTGAGAGATATTTTAGTATACTTAACACAAAGGATTTAAGGGATCTGTCACGCTTCAGTTGTACTTTGTAAATATCAATGCTTTGGATATTGTCAGTTTGATCTTTCATATCCAATTTCTCTGGCTCCTTCATATTATTATTAACAGGAGTATTCAGGCTTTTAACTCTAGCGGAGCTTTCTTGGTTTTCCATGGTAATGTTTTTCCAAAAAAAAGATAATATTTCTCGCTTATTTTATAGGGTCGTAGGAGTAAGATATTGCCAGATTTTTATTAGCAATTATGCACTGCATGTCATCATTCATTAACCCCTTGCAAATCAATAAAAAAAACTTCATGATTAGTACCTCCAGCCAATGATCTCTTAGCGATCTTATATGTGAAATAAGAAAAATAACTAACTTTTCGATATGTAAAAATTAATATGTTACACAACCTGTCTGATGATCCACTTATTTTTCTGTCGCACAATTTGAATAAAAATGATGAAGGATTAACATGCGCATAATGATTACCAGAAAAATATCTATACCTGAATATTGTTTTATTAATATGATAATAGTATAGCCGGAGACATGTTAGTCATGACATGTAAAATAAATACCTTTTTTTCTTCCTCCAGTTATTGTCATCCGAAAAAAAAAATCTATCTGGATAAATTACGCGATCACTATTCTGGATTGGAATTTATTTCTGAATTTCAGCTAACATTGCATCAATTTCAGCTAACATGAAATCCATTTCTATTGTCTGAGACTTTTGAGGATCAGGTTGGGGTTTTAAACCATTTGCCTCAGAAACAGATTTAGATTCATAGTCAGATTCAGGATCATCATCTTTTGACTCAGTATCACCCATAGCATAATTATCACTCGCATCAAGACGGTCAGATTCTTACCTTAATGCGATTCTCAAAAGCAGTTTAAGATGCTAGGGAGTTAGATTCTTACCACTATGAATTCTGGAAGCATGTTTACTTTCATAATCTCTTAATTTTTAGGCATAGTTCTATAAGGTTTTTGCTTCAAGAATTTATTAAATAGCCAAGCATTACGTATTTCACTTTCAGTAAAGACAGGGCTAGATAACTTTTTAGCCTTAATTGCATCTTGAATCCAGGTGAATAATTCTCTGACACATTCTGGATTCTTTTCCATAGAAAGAAATGGTTGAGGATCAGGATTCTTCTTCTTTTCTCCTCTACTCTTTAAATAGCCTGTATAGTACTAAGAATAGCCTTCTTTATACTATGATAGAATGTTCAAAGAGTCTGGTTTATAGTAATTGATCTGGAGAGATCTTACTTCTACAGGTCTTATACTCAACATCACTATCACATCTGCGAGATTCTCTCTAGTAGGAATTTTGGAAATATCCATGTTCTGAATCCTTTTACTCATATTTGTTAAGAAAAAATATATGGGAATTCTGTCCAGATTAGCTATTCACTTTTTAGTTCGTTCTTTCTGAATTTTATTAGAATCTTAAATAAGATTCTTATCTTTAGCAAATTCTTCAATAATTGCAGAATCTACACCACCTTCTGCTAACTTTACACAGAATGTTGACTGACGTAAGACATCGGTAACGATCTCCTTTTCATCTTTATTTTTCAGACCTATTACCCAATGATTAGTGATAATGTCTACAAAATTACCAGCCTTAGCATAGTATTCCGCCCTTCCTTCTATAAAGAGGTTTTTCTTTCTCTTATCTAGTAGAAGAGCCTCTATTTTCTCTTTACTAAATGAATGTTTAGGTTTAGCAAGAGCTACCTTAACACATCTACGGGCTATTCAATCTGGAAGTAAAGCATCTAGTTTAGGAGCATGTTCGCTCAATTGTTCTAGAGTGGAGTCAGCTGACAAATTATGCTTTTCTAGGAACTGCTCTAATACCAACACAAAGTTATTAGCTTTAGGTTTTCGGGTCTTTAAGGTAGCTATTTTGGTAGCCATATCAATACTAACTGTTATCTAGTTATATTATGTAAGAAAAAATTCAATTCGAAAAATTAGCTAGAGAGTTGCAAAAAGTAAGTAAGATTTGTAACTTTAGCTGAAGGCACTAAAGCAAAGGAATTTGAATATCTATAATAAAGTAAAAGTGAAGTTTTAAGATTATTAATATCAAAATTACCTCATATGAGCTGTTTTATCTGCTAATATATCAAGAGAGATGGTTCGATCTGTGAGAAAGGATGCATGAGTGAATTAGGATGTTTCAGACATTATAATGCCCTTCTTAGAACAATATGTCCTATCTGTAATGAGCTAACATATTCTGATACTATAATCTGTAGCACACATAAAAGAATTTATAAAAATGCCTGGCGTGAAGGTAAAAAAGTTAAAATAGAATCAGACATGATCGAGACACCTAGCTGAATAATAATCTGGCCAAAGTATTATTTTTCCTATCTTATAGAGTCAAAGAATTCCTGAATATCATTATCTGTTTTCGACCTGTATAGTGGAAGCTCTGGAGCACCTTTATCTTCAAAACTAATACTATTATATGGCTGGCGATTAATTTGATATGAATATTGCCAAACTTGTTGTCCTTTAGGCCCTATTCTTTTTTAATCACTTTTAATAATATATCTGCACTAATTACCAGTGATTGCATTAATTGCTTTATAGCTGATTTAAGATCTGGTGTTTCTTTTGCACAAGATTTAAATCCAAAGAGCAATAAGGATTGATTTCAGATTTCCATAAATTTTTCACACAATTGAGCAAATGCTTCTGAAATAATATTACCCGAAAGAGTACGTATATCATCAATACCAGTAAAGCTTAGTATTTAAAAAAGTTCCTGTATCACCTTTCACTATTTAAACAAATATGCCTTTCGTAAATTAATTGAAGATAGATCTGAGGAATTATGTGATTCCTCCCACTGTATAGTTTCTTTAGTTTTTAACCCTTCTAAAACTTTTATTGAATCTGAACCTTGTCTTCAGAAATATGCCAGTCTTCTAAAGTGTCGTAAAGGTTTAGGGTTATTAAATTTTTTTATAAAACTGATATTGCATAGATTAATCCATTTGGCATCATCTATGCCTCAGTCCCGATTATCGTCCTTACTTCCAATATCTCCTAAAGCATATATTCTCCATAAATAATGTTATTGTAATATTATATTATCAGTAAACGAGCGGGTAGGAATTTGTTTAAAAACTTCAGCATTATCTGGGGTGATATCAGGTGCGTTAACTATTAATTCTGCATCAGAGTCTTTGATATTTTCTTCAACCGCCTTAATAATGTTAGAAATCATTTTCCTATCAGCTATAGTACCTTCTGTAGAAATAATTTCAAGTGAAGCTCCCGTACTAAAAACAAGATCACAAAGAATTTTAGGAAAGTACTTTGCTAATAAATGTCTCTAGTATTCAGCCTCAATATATGTTTCGATCACTAGAGATACATCAAGAGTATAATAATCAGCAATTTTATCCTATTCCCAATACCCTTTTACTGTTATTAGTAAATCAATAGGTCTTAAAGCAAAAAGTTCAGTATGAATAAGACTATGATTTGGCTCTTGAAATATAAAGGACTTCTGACTATTATATAAAGAAATTATACGTTGTGAACAATTCTGAATTCGATAAAGCATCTGTGCAAAAGCTTCGATATGTACTTCTGTTTTAATATTGCTAATTCTTTTAATAGCGTCAAAATGATTAGGAATTTCAAAGGAGATGCCAACTTCTACAGTACTTGTGTAAATTACGCAGTCAAGAGAATTCCAGGTAGTATTAATATTAGTAAAATCCTCTTATCGTTGCATTCCATCCATTTGGCCAAAATAAACACGAGTTAAAATAGGTGAACTATTCAGTTTTTGCAATGCGGAAGCTTAGTTTACTAAAGCTCAAGCTTTTTTACATGATGTTATTACAAAAGTAACACGCTTGCCTTCTCAGAGTATCTTAAGACCTCTTCTCATAGCCTCTGAACCTTTATCTGGATCATAAAGAATTTTAACAGTTTTGCCTATATGTGGTTGATATTTATTATCGAAAATTCGTATATCATTACCTCGATATTGTTTTAAGAAAGCTATAGTAGAGTCACTAGACATTTGGCGTATAACTGCATTGACTTTATCTAAAATAACTACATATGGATGCCTTTCATGAAGCTTAATACGATGTGTACTTTTAACTTGAATGATAATAATATCCCAATTACTTATAGCTAAACTACCCTCAACTTCTTGATATTAGTATACGTGAAGTCCTAAATTCTGTAATATTTTAATTTTAGCTTTAGTCTCATTGGTAAGAGTTTTGCGATATGAAACCCAGATAAAGCAAGGCAAATTTTCTCTATTTCTAGCTAAAGAGTTGAAAATTTCTCTTAAAACTTTTGTTTTACCAGTACCTACGGGTGAATGGATAAGAGTTGTATTACATACAGAACTTAAGAAGTCTGAATAAGCTTCTGAAGCCTCTTCCATCTCTTTTATATTAATATTTTTTCCAGATAATTCAGAGAGCAAACGTGAATTTTTTACAATATTAATTAACCTGTCATTCAATCTCCATTTAACTCTTTCTTTCAACTTGATTATACCTGATGCCTCTCCAAATGCTAGTCCTTTATGATCTGGCTTATATTAATTTTGCCAATAGCATTTAAATACAAAATAGCTGTTACTTTGAAGAAAACCATATAATTGATCTCTTTCATATTTGATTCTGCAAATAGGACATGCTTTATATGACTTTGCTAAGAAGTTAACAAATTCTTTTCTAATGTCGCCAATCTCAAGTCATTCATATTTTGCAGTAACTTGACTAGCCCTCTTGCTTAAAGCAGTTTCATCTTCGATAAATTAGAATTCATCCTTTTTTAGCTTTTCAGGAGAAAAGGTCCGTGGCCAGATTTCAGAATAATCAGATTTAGATTGAACTAAATAATCTTCTAGCTTGCGGTATTCTTGTTTAACTAAAGAAACTGCAGGTCTTTTAACTCTATCTTCCTTTGCTGATCCAAGAAGTCGAAGACTAAAATGTGATTTATAAAGCACAAGATCAATAAATTCAGAGTATGGTTTTCCAACTCTATCAGCAACTTTTTTCACAAATCCTCTAAGGTCTCTGTAGTCAACGAACTGTGCATATTTATATATAATATGCTAATTGCATTTATTAGTATTAAATGAACTGGCTAAGGCAAAAGCATCTAATATTACAAGATGATTTAAATCAAAATATAAAATATTAATACAAGTAATTAAGATTCTGAATAATAAATCTTCGCGAATAATTTTATATTTATCTAAAAAAGGGAGCTTAGGGTTCATTAGATCTGATTTTTGTCTCGCATTAATATCCAGAATTAGGCAAAGAGGCAGATTTCCATCAATACATTTGTGAGCATCAGGGATTCTATAAACTTCAGATGGATGATTGACTACTGTAAAACCTTTTCCAGATACTCGAATAATATATTTTGAATAAATCTCTTCAGAATGATAGGTATCTAGAAGAGAGATATCATTTTTATTATTAGATAAATATTAGAAATATATATAATTATTATAGCCAGATACATAGTCAAGGTCCGCTAAACTAGAAAAAAGCCTAGTTGCTTTATTTATTGTTTTAGGCGTGGCCTAGGATTTTTTTGTGCAAGTAGCATAATACAATGTATGGAAATACTAAGTATAAAATTACATGTAAATTTCCCAAATCTTCAAAATAAAATTTTGAGCGAATATGCTTGTTAGTAGAATACTAGGTTAGTAATAATATCTAAAAGTAGTCGATGTAGTAGTATCCAGCGCTAAGCCAAAAGAAAGTAATCAGTGTAGTAGTATCCAGCGCTAAGCCAAAAGAAAGTCGATATAGTAGTACCCAAAAGTAGTCAATGTGATAGTACCCAACGCTAAGTCAAAAGAAAGTAGTTGATGTAGTAGTACCCAAAAGTAGTCAATGTAATAATACCCAAAAGTAGTCAATGTAGTAGTACCCAGCGTCAAACTGAAAGAAAGTAGTCAATATAGTAGTACCCAAAATTAGTTGATGTAGTAGTACCAAGCACTAAGCTGAAAGAAAGTAATCGATATAATAATAACCTAAAGTAATCAGAAATAGGCGAAAACTAGGGTATAAATTTAGTAGTATCCAAAGGTAGAATTATATAGAAATAAAATAAGAAATTATGCTTTTAGGTATTACCACTGATAGGCAGAAAAGAGGTCGGGAAGGCAGAAAGGTTCAGGAGAATATACGAAAAAAAGGGTATGAAAGATCGATATAATAATAGCCTAAAGTAATCAAGTATAGGGGTACCCTAAAGTAGCAACTATATGAAAAAGAATTCTAGGAAGGCTCAGGCAAAAACTAGGGTATAGATTTAGTAGTATCCAAAGGTAAAATTATATAGAAATAAATAAGAAATTATGCTTTTGGATACTACCGCCGATAGGCAAGAAAGAGATCAGAAAAGCAAAAAGGCTCAAGAAGATGCATAAAAAAAAGGTATGAAAACAATATAGCCTAAACTAATTCAGCATTTCATGCCTTATCCTCAGCAATCATGAAAGGCAAGATTATAAGAATAGCACAACACTGGTACTTCGCAAAAACTTAATGAAGTATTAATAAATAGGTGCACGCAAATTAAACTTTTTTACATATAATACTCGCAAGAATATTACCATATCTGATATTTACTCTATATTTGATTAAGATGAAATATAATAGAAACACTTACGAAATATAAATATACTTTATAAGATGAATAAGATAAATATTATATTTACTTGTTTTGTAACAATAGTCTAACATCTCGTAAAATTATGTGCGTAATAATAATTTGAACTTCAGGATGTGAAAATGGCATACTTATACTGGTGTAATAGTTAGATCGCAAATGGTACACTTTTGGTAATCAAATGGGTCAGGCTAAGAGGCATAATAACTCAGCATTCAAATAAGCATATAGAACTGGTGAATTAATAGAACTATACTAGTTCCTCATTACTTCTATGACATTATTATGGTACCAACTTGGATCCTTCAGATCATGTGCTCAAAAGATCGATCAGAAATTATGCTATAGTACTGACCAAATTTAGACATAAATTTACATCAAATTTACTGTGTAATCCATCACCTTTTTTTACACGATTTCAGCATCTAGAAAGGCAACCAAATAGGCGCAAAGGGAAAGCATTCTAACATAGAATCCAGCATCCAATCAGGCGCAGGAGGCCAGCATCCTCAACATAAAACCAGATATCAAAACAGCTAAAGTAATGCTATAAACGCAAAGGAGCAATAAAGCAATAAAAAAGCTATAGAACACAAAAACAAGTAAGTAAGTAACAGTTTAATGGCAACTAGGTAATAGTTTAACAGCAACCAGGTAATAGTTTACTTAGAACTAGATAACATTATAGCGGAACTGGATAACACTCTTATAAGAATGTTATCCAGTTCTAGAAACTTTCATGTTTTGTAATGATTGTTGCTATTAACTGCGGAAAAATTTTATTTATAAAAATGCTGGGTAGAACGTCTGGTAAGAGAATCAAATAAAAGTAATATTATAATTCGCAAAATGCATAATTTAATCAATTATCAAAACAAAATAATTTTCAATCAAAAATTTTAATAAATTTATTTTGAAAATGCTCTCAAATTCTGACATTATTTTGATTGTATTATTCACAATCATGATCATATTCTATGAAATAATATCCTGAGGTTTCTTAAGTATAGAGATACTCAAAATCATTTTTTTTTAGGAAATATAAACATATATATTATTCTTGTAGTAGCATTTATCTATTTTCATAACAATCAGACAAGTGGAGGTCAAAGAAATAATGATCTAAAAAGATCTATTCTGGCTTTAAATAACAAACTTCAGAAAATACATATTGCAGTCAGGGAATTTACCAAATATATTATGATGACTATTTCCTATTTTAGTAATAAATTTGCTGATCAAAATATTCTAGAATACTTCAATTATGATTGGTTAAAATTACAGAATTAAAAAGTTTTAAAATATTTATTGTATCTGTATTTAATACTAATAAAATTTATAACATATGCACAATAAAAGTAACTTTTCCAATATCTGTTTCACCAATAAGTGATTTTTCAACAAGTTGGCCAAAGTTATTCATAACACAAGCAAATCGTTAAAGAAATGGATGTTCAAAAAGTGGATTTTGAATAAATTTGCTATTGGATAAATTATTGTCGTGAAGAAATTGCTGTCAGAAAAATTGCTGTCAGAGTAGTTAGAAAATTGTTGAAAATATACTGCCAGAGAAATCGCTATTTAGAAAAACACCATCAGAGAAATTGCTGCTATTGATATGAAATGCCATTAGTGTAAAGTGCCATTAGTGTGAAATACTATTGGAGAAATGTCATTAGAGAAATTGCTATGGGAAATTTCTATTAGAGAATGAGAAAAAAAAATTATTGTTAGTCGTTAAATTAATTATGTGATTTGAATGTATGCTTTATATCTTGTAATATATTTAATAGTTCACTTCATTTTTTGATTTCAGTCTAGGGTATTCTTTCTGAGCATTCTTATAATGTTCAAGAAGAGTTTCGATTTTCAATATGAGTTCAGCTCTTTTCATATTTTCTTCATTTTCTTGTGCATTCGCTTCTTATTTTGTAATTGGTATTGATCTAAAAAAAGGAGGTGGATTTTTGTTAATAAATACTTTAATAATAAAATTTTGCTAAGCCTGCTTTACTAAATGTATAAAGTTTAAGTGTTCACTTAACTCGTGATGTTCTCCTAGATTCTGACAAACTGATCTTGCATTTATTGGATTGGTAAATTTAAAACTTCTTAAATGAATCCAGAATCTTTAGCATTTCATAGTAGATTCTGGTCGAGTTCTTAGTCCAGATGTTTAAAGATCATTGTAATTGATTAATTTAAATAGATTATCTCTAAGCTTAAAAAACCTTTTGCAATTATATACAGCAACTTTCCAATGATAATACTGTAGAACAGGAGGTATTAAAGCCTTCAAAGCCTTATTTACTTCCTCAATAATTGCATCCAATCCTTGGTGTTATTTGTAAATACCTGATCTAGAAATGACACAATTCTTCTCTATAGTCTCACATACTTCTGGATAAAGCTACATCAAATTGAACTTCATCAGCAACCTCTATTAAGCGATAAATTAGATGTTATTTTGCAGACCAAATCAGAGAAAATGTTCTTCTAATGGCTCTCTTTAAGAATAAGTTATTGGTTTTTATGGCTTTTCAGTAATTGATGATTGTTTAAAGATAAACAAATGTTTGCTTATATTTTATCTAATAGAGCAGGTCTTGTTGTTCTTTAACCCAAGTAAGATATCCTTTAACTGAAGGATTAGAATGGCTTTTTACATATGGTCACATGAGCTTTATTGCTATTATCTGACGATATATGTCACAGACAGAATCCCAAAACTTGTGATAATCTATACACTTTTTAAAATACCCAAGCTGATTTTCTGTCTGATAACCTTGACAAAATGCAAATTCCTTCAAGTTTATTTCCCTAATTATTAATATAGAAAATAAAATTTATCAATAAAAAATTATGCTATTTTAATAAAAAACAAATTTACCAATTTAACTCAACATATGCTCGAAGTATATTCATTTCCTCATGTAACTATCCTAGTATAAGAACCAACCAAGGGAATTTCTCTTTAAACTTAATAGCATAATGGTATAGGATACCATCACAGGTTACTGCAACCTACTTATGACTTCCATTCTTAACACCAGATATCGTTTCTATATGAAGAAAAACCTTTTCAATATTTACAATTGAATTAGGGTTAATGTTGATCAGATCAGGAATATAGATCTCAGGAATATTAACTCCTTGTTCAATAATTGGCCGTTAAGTAAAACTTATTCTAGGAACAGAAATGCTACTCAATTCATTACTAATGCTATAGAGTTTAAAAATAAACGGCTTGCTTTGCTGATCAATCACGCTATTTTTAACTATCTTTTTCATTTTGGATTTCAGCTAATGTTGGTAATCATTCTTTGCATTTAGGACATGTTTGCTTTTGATTCTCAATGTTTTTTGATTGCAATTAAGACACTCTTTCATAGTGGTAATGTTAGTCGTTATCACTATAAGAAAATTGATAGTATTAATGGAAGTCAAATTTTCTTTATGCAACAATTTAAGAATCTCAAAAAGGTAAGTATGCAATTCTTTGTCGATAACTTCTTATATTGGAGGGCTGACATCAAAAAGTTCTTTATTTTGCAATCTGTTTAAAGAAGAATGTAACCAAAGTGAGTTAGTACTTTGAATTTAATTTTGCAATCCCATATTAAAAGTAACAAAACTAGTAACAATATGAAAAATTATTGTGTTAAATCCCCGATCAAGATAATTTTTTTGTCTCCTTTGTTTATTGTCAGATGCAAGAAATAGAAGACCTTCAGATAATTTTTCTTCATGCACAGATAATTCTTCTAACCACTTTTGGAATTGATAGTAGCTCTCAGAACTAGTAATGTGATTGTCAATGCTAATAATCTTCTTCGATCATGCAATAGAATACTTAACAGCTGAAGCAGCAAGATGGATTTCTGATACATATCTCCCATGTCAAGCTCCATATATTGCATCAACTGCAATGGCAATTTTGAGTTGCTTTTTGTGAATCAGGTCATCAATCTCTTAACTATTTTGAATCAGTATTTTGATAAATTTAACAATGATCTGATTATGCTTATTGAGCCATTCATAAAGAGAATATATTGTAAGACTTTCTACCATAAATCTACTGTTATCTCTAATCAATGATTTTATGTCATCAAATAATACCTTACGTTCTGCCTTCACTATCTCAATAATTGCATTAATACACTTTTACTGATTATTAAATCGCAAATCCTATCATTTGACAAGATCATCATTCTTTTTACATTGTTCCTCATATAAACTTTGAGTCTTAATTGCATAATCATGAGCCTTTTGTATTTTTTGTCTTAGCTCCTCTATTTCATTTTTTTGATCTTCTAAATGCTTTTGCATATGTACAATTTGATTATTGAGCTCAATTATTAATTGTGACTTTTGCTGAATATCCTGCTGACTAGCTTCTAGAAGACTCTTAGTCTTTTTAAATTCAGCTATAATATTGGGATGATCAATACTATTATCTTCATCAGTATCTAATCAGAACTGCTTATTTTCTTGATTAGAATTTGTAAGATGATTATAAATTGATTAGTGAAAATGATTTGATTATAATGCCTTTCACAAATTGAATAAAACTTTAAAAAAGAATGAAAGTCAGCAAACTCAAGAATATAATTATGGTATTGTATAAGCCACTTAGCTGCTTCCTGGATACTAGCATGCCACTAGGCTTGTGATTCTTTCATTTCACAGATTTTAATCTAATTATACGATAATTATTAACTAAAGTTGTGAAAATACATGGAAGGTCTCTTGCTTTTGGCCTTTGGTAAGCAGACACTATAAAAAAAATATTTTAAAATGCTAAATTAGTTACTAAAAAAATATGCTATATACTTTCATTTCAATTAACAAAATGCATGAAAATTTCTTATTTTGAGGTCTCATTTACTTTTTTATGAAGAGTTAATCTCAATTGATTTTTATTGATTATGAAAACTAGAACTCTTTTGCTATCTATCTATATATTATCTAAGCCACAACGAAAATTCAGAAAAAGAAGAAATGAACATCGATTATATACATGTAACAGCCAATCAAATTTCAAGAATTTTATATAGAACATTCTAGAATGCATTTCCTTATTTGGTAAATTTTTTGACTATATTGAGAATAAATGAAAGAATAAGGCTATTTCGTAAGGTAAAATTCTATATATTTGATTCTTCAGGATTTATCCATTTTACGATTTATTAACCATAATCTGATCTGTATCTTATTTCACCTAGCCAGCTCCAACCCTTTCACAAGCCATGTATCTCTATATTCTGAATATACAGGTAAAATACAAATGTACTGGGTTAAGTTCACAGCCATATTTAATGAAGAAAAAAAAGAGAGAAACGCTCTTCTACATAGATATATAATATACTATCTCAAGAAATCAAACTTAGTTCTACCACATTAGCCAGCTTTTATCGTCATCAGAAAATCCTGAAAATTATATCAATGAATAAAATAATTTCATGAGTCGAAAGGGAGGGAAAAAGGAGAGTTAGCTTTGCAAATAATAATAGTAGTAGCAGTAGCAGTAGCAGTAGTAATAGTAGTGGGGATAGTGATGCAAATTAAAATAATGCTGAGATTCTCATTTAATGACTTAGGATCTGAATACTCCCTTCCTCTTAGAATGTTTATGACTCTTTGTGCATCATTTATTTTAAACACTATCTTTCTAGCCATTTTTTATATTTCTTAGTCAGCTGGCCCTTTCTTATATATTACTTTACAAATATATAATAAAGATTTTACTTTAATTTTTTTTAAACGTGTTTCGTGTTTTACAAGTAATATAAATCTATTATATTTGCTTTTGTATTTTGCTAATATAACATCACGTTGCTATAGTTAAGAAAAAAAATAACAGCTTAAATCTAAAAATGCTATTCATAAAATATTTTTCAAAGTTCTTCTGAATAGGTCCTTCCTTTATCACTGTAATTAATAGTGATATTAATTACATTAGCATTTTGAGAGAACAAGGAGAGAGTGAGAGTAATAGGTCTAAAAACTACAGGAGTTTCAATAGAAAGCGTTACTAGTCTTGATGATTTAGTTTATTTATGTGAAAAGGAAGAAGTATCAGAATTAGTTTTGAGAGGATCAGGTGTTAAGAGTGTTAATTGAATAGTTGTATTAGATGATGTCATAGAACGTTGTGATTCTAAAAACAATAAATGTTTTAGGAAGAATATCTTAGATTTACTAAAGTAAACGCCAGAAAAACAAATATCAAGTTCTTTCCAAAATTCCATAGAAAACTCTTCATAATATTGCTCTCCAATAATACTTCTCTTCTTTTTAGTTATCACCCTAGCTAGTGGTTGTTCACATAAATGAACCTCAGATCCTTTATTAGTTAATAGTTGGTCCCTTAAGAGACTTTCAGCTTTTGCCTTAACTTTTTTATGATCTTGGCTGTCTATATATAACAAAAATATCAAATCAGAGTCAGGTTAAGTATATGCATAGCATTTTCAACTGCTCAGTTATCATATGACTTACATAGTATACTTAAGTTAGAACTAAAAATTTCTTATTACAGTCTTTACCAGTGAAGTAGTTGGTATTATTTGCTTAGTTTATTTTATTCACAATCTCATTCCAAAAGTTTCTCTTGTAGTAATTAGAGGTTCAGTGGTATTAATCATTTCTATTTTTACGTTTATTGATAAGCATTTGAATTTGTTTTTCGTTCTACTGTGCAGACATTTTTATTTTTATAGAGAAGAGCTAAAAAGATTCACTTATATAGAATATGATTGGAGTGAGTTAGTGAATTAGTAGAGACTGAATAAGACTCATTAAGCTTTATATAAAGTCAACGCTTTAATTTTCGCAATGACTAATATAATGATTAATTGAAAAAGGGCTTAGTTGCATTTTTTATGAATTCAAGATCTGAATTGCCGATTATCTCATGATATGAGTTACAAAAAAGTGAAGAAAGAGCACTGAAAATTGATGAGATACTAGAAAGGAGTCAGGTAAACCATAATACAATGACTCAGATCTAATTTAACTAAATCAAAAAAATCTGAATAAAAATGAATTTAATATTTATTAGAGTATAATATTGATAAATCAGCTAAAATCAATAAAAACACTATAAGTTAATAAATTGTTATAATTTGCTTCAATTCACTATAATTCACTAAATTACTAATTTATCAATTATGTCTGGTGTAATGGTTAAGATTATATTAGATAAAATTTATAATAAAACTATATCTAAACCTATCAATATTTGTCTTAAATATGATATGGAACATATTTTTAACTATCGACCTCAAACTGATAACTATCAGTATGAAAAAGTGGTTAAAATAGAAAAATAATATGATCATTTATCTATTATTAGACCTTATAAAACATCTCAGCAATGGGCTGTTCATATAAGAATTCCTTTATAAGAATTACTTTTTAAGCGAAAATATAATTTATAATATGTGTACTACCTTTTCAGTTTATTTGGGCAAGTAGAATCTAAAACATACTATATTAATGGTGAGTTATATAAAGATCACTTCTAATATTGTAGACCTAGTATCCATAAAAATCAAATGGCTATTTGCTTCAAATGCTAGAAATTGGTGAAGATTACTAAAGTAGAACCTAAAAAAGGAATATTATAGTAGCTAGGGGAAATAGGCCTATGAAGTTGAATCTGAAGATTTGATGAAAAATCATTGGAATTACTTTTGCTTCAAGGTCAAATCTACAACTATAGTAAAAAATACTATGACAAGTGCTCCTGTTATCTCTGATAACCAATAAATAATTTCACCAACCTTTAGTAAAATATTTATCTCGTCTCTGTATGCAAAACAGCCAAAAGATACTATGTTGAGATTGAGAAATGGAACAGAAATCATGGTAGTTTAACTAATTGATTTTGACTATTACTTTTTACTGAATAATAATATTATTTATCTCAACTATATTTATAAATTATTTTTTTTGCGACTACATAATCTACATGTAATAAAATTGGCTAAAAGTGTAATCATTTCATGTATCATATACAGATGCTATGTATGATCTGCCTATTCTAGGTTAGATCTTCTAATCTATTTTAATAAAGCATTTTTTGAGAAGTTCAGGAAGATTAATGAAGCGATCTTGGGAATTCTTGATTGCGAGACAATATAATTATCAGTTTGAGAATTTCTATGCGACAATTATCCAGTAAATTTATAAGAATTACAAGAAAAAACCTGAATCTTTGACAAAACAAATTTGGGAGATGGTGAGAAATGATAGTACTTCTGATGATATAAAGATTTTAGATATAAAAAATGAATCAGAATAACCAGGATATATTTGTTATAGGGATGAGAAAAAATGAATCAGAACAACCAGAATATATTTGTTATAGGGATGAGAAAAAATGAATCAGAACAACCAGGATATATTATTTATGGGGATGAGGGACGTTATTATCTAGTAAAAAATAATTGGATGTATGAGAAGAGAGCCTAATTATAGTAATGATTATCTTTTGCAACATTTATACTTAATAAGAAATTATTATATCAGCAAGGCTATATAGTTATTAGAAGTACATATTGGCTTGACATGTTAAAATAGCTACGGAATTTCAAATATTATAATATTCATAAAATAATATACTGTCCAGCTATGGTAGGAGAACAGTATGCAATATAAATTAACATGTTTTTGATCCTTATTAAAATATATATGATATAATGTTGAGATCTTTAATGCACATTCTACATGCTCTTATTCTCAAAAAAAAATTAGCGTAAAGTGCCTTACATATTCTCCTGTCCTTTTCCCAATATAAATACAAGTCTAGAAGGAAGTAAATAGAGTCATTTAAAAAGATAGTATAGTAAAATTATTATGCTTTATGTTATTTTTTTTTACTTCGCTTAGCAGAGCTTTTACTAACATTTAACCTTTACTCTATACAAAGAAACATAAGGCGAAAAAAGAGTACCATCAGAAAAAGCTGACAGAGTTGACTAAGCTGAATTTATTTGCCAATATCTTTCTAATGAAGGGAATATATATGAACGAGTTAGTATTTGAGAAGAAAAATGCAAAATTTATTAGAAAAAACGTTAGCAAAACCTTTACCAATAATATAAAAAACTAACTACCTCAATCTATGATATGTGTAATTTATATGTAAATAAGTATCATTCAAAAATATATTATCATAGGAAGAAGCTAAATGCCTTAGAAAAATCTGTTCTAGAAAAATCTATCTTAGAAAATTTTTGACTTTCAGAGGCAGAAGCGAAATAGTAAATTAACTTTATTAAGATGCTAGAATAGTTTCTTGAATGGTCTGTCTTAGGTGCCCTAGGGGGTCTAGAAAATTTCAGACTTCTTTACTTTTTATTTTTTTTATCTATAGGTATAGCAAAAATATAGCATACTTATAGTATATATATAGTATACTAATACATATACTGAAAAGATATTATAGAAAAAATTCATTTTTTTTTCTCTAGAACTTTATTTTATTAGGACACCTAAGGCACTTAGGAAAGATAATAAAGGAATAAGATAAAATAAAAAGAATGTTTTCTCCTATAACAAATTCTACCCTAGGAGGTGATCCAGTAAAATTTCTGCCTTAGGACACTCAAAAATTAGCATACTCATTGTTTCGACCTAGATTAAACTATGATCAGGCCTCAGAAGTGCTTATAATATCCTGCCATTACATCAGTAACAAATAGGCAATAGTTTGATTATGAAATAATACACTTCTGATAATCAAAAGGGTTTAGGCCAAGATAATACATATTGCACTTCCAATTTTAGGATACAAAATCAGTATACACATACTGATAATAAATAGGCAATAGTTGTTTTAGTTACAAGGTGTGTACTCCTAACAAATAAATAGGCTGGCTATAATAATGTCTATCATACCTTTGGGAAGTATAATATCTCAGCCAGGTCTTTGAACATAATAACTTAACATCCAAGCTAGTATACAAGTAGTCTGAAAATGGCGAACTAATAGAATCTTTTTAGTTCCTACCAGTTCTCTAATAGTTTCATGATATTTCTATAATACTACCATGATACTATTAAGTCACCATCATAACGCTAAGCTGGATCCTCAAATTATATACTCAAAAGATCAACAAAATTAATTGCAGATCTATTGCATCACCTGATATGATGTTTTTTTATTACATTTTGATATCTAAAAAAGTAACCAAATAGATGCAAAGGAAAAGCACTCTAATATAGAATCTAATATCCAATCAGACATAGAAGGCCAGCATTCTCAACATAAAACTAGATATCCAAATAGCTACAGAGGATCAACAATTCCATTATAGAATTTAGCATGTAAATAACTCAGAAATAAGAAGAAAAGTGTGGTATTTAGATTATAAAGTGGTAGTTAAGTTAAATAGTGGGTGATAATTAGATTATATAGTAGTAAAAAATACAGATATTAAGAAAGGTTTAAAAAGATAGCTAGAGTATAAAAAAGATATTTGATATGCAAAAATAAATAAATTATATAGTGATAATTAGATTATATTATTTAGATTATATAGTAATAATTAGATTATATTATTTAGATCATATGGTAATATTCAGATTATATAGTAATATTTAGATCATATAGTAGTATCCAGATTATATAGTGGTATTTAGATTATATAGTAATATCCAGATTATATGGTGATATTTATATCATATAGTAGTACCCAGATTATATGGTGATAATATAATCTAGAGCAAGTGGGATACCACTATGTAATATAATTTATATTACATAGTGGTATTCCACTTAATTTTATAAATAAGAAAATCTAAATTTAAATTTGAGTAAAGATTAAGTATCTAAGTTTTTTTTTTATTTTGTATGATGCACTAAACATTTTTAGAGTTCCGGACGAGTTGAGTTAACTCACGAGTCAGATAAGCTAAGTCGAGTTCAAATCAAGTCGAATTGGTGTTTTTTGACTCGATGATTTGCGAGTCAAGCCAAATTTGAGTCGAGTTAAATATTTAACTCAACTCGATTTAAACTTGATTTGATTTGAGTTGACTCGAGTTGACTCGAGTTGAACGATAAAAAAATCGTTCAAGTCGAACGATAAGGAATCGTTCGACTTAAACAATAAAAAAATCGTTCAAGAAGAACGATAAGGAATCGTTCAAGAAGAACGATAAGGAATCGTTCAAGAAGAACGATAAGGAATCGTTCAAGAAGAACGATAAGGAATCG